CAAAAAAGGAAAGGCAAAGTTAAAAGGAAAATGGGACAAAGTTAGAAGGAAACCATTCAGGCATGCTTAGTTTTTATACAGCTTTTATATTGCACAAAAAATTGCAATTGTGATTTCAGAAGTCAAAATATTAAATTTAGAAGTTGTGACAATGTTATTTATAAGAATCTCTTCGTTTAGAGCCTGTCCAACATTGAGCCTTAACACCTTTCGAGTTTACGAACGCTTTATTTCTTTTAGTGTGCCTTTTCTTAAGTCAGATAAGCACTTTTCAGATTTAAAAAATAATCTGAATGCTTTTAAAACCAACCTGTTTTCGAAATAATCCATTTGATATATTTTAAGAGCTTGAAAAAGAGTGTGTTTTCAAAGTTTTCATTTATAATTAAATAATAATTTTAGTTCATATTTTTATTCTTATTTTCCTGTACGAAAAAAACGTCCATCCAATAAAAGACAACTTATTGAAGCTATAATTGATTCTTGGCACCATATGATTACGAAAGATGAACTTCAAACAGTCGTTCACTCAATGAAAAGAAGCTGGGTAGCTGTCTTAAAATATAAGGGTTATCCTACTAAGTATTGATTGTGTAAGTATCACTTTAAAAAAATGCAAATCTAAGATAGATCTTACTATTAGTTGCATAACTTTTTTTGTAACACAGATATTGTAATACTGTATTCATTATTAAATTCTACATTAAATTTCCTTCAACTTGATATATAAAAACTTTTGTACTTAAGTGAAAATTAATGTATTCTACAAGCATACAAAGTTGAAAAACATGAAACTTTCAAAAAGTGTCCACACTTTTGGCCACCACTGTATATATATATGTATGGTGGGATAGCTACTGGGAAAAAAATGGTTAACCAATTTAAACAGATTGATCTTGCCAAAACTTGAGATATTTATTTTTACAGCCTAAGATAAAACCTTTCAAGAAACACAGACATCAAAAAAATATTCCGAAAACACATGCAAAAAAAAGACACGAGAAGTAAACATACGCAGAATATTTCCCTCTAATTTTTGATAAAAGTGCACAACAGGAAAAATATCGCATACCTAACTATAAAAATGTTAATGTGGATCTAATTCTCATTTTGTACGCAACTGTAATATGCATTTTAAAATGGAAGGTCAAAATTAAGCTACCTCGTCTAAAAAAAAAACACGAACCAAAATTGCAAGTAAAAATACTCTTTTAGAGAATCAATAGATTTAAATATTGATGGTCGTAAAATTAATTGCCTAATAAATAGCGAATCAAAGACATGTTGCATAAAAGATTTTTTCATAAATTACCCTTAGATAGTGTTCACTTATTCAGTTGTCAGAGAAAAAATTAATGTGAAAATGTATCAACTTCCAGTTTCTTTTAATGACTCATGTTTCGAAATGCATATACCATTTCCCACAATCAATTAACTTCTAATGCAATTATGACTACTAAAATTATAAAATATTTTCTTGAAGGTCAAAGTGCGGTTTCAAACGAAAATAAATCCTGGAAATTATTGAATGCTGAAAATAAGAATATTGAGATCTTTTTTACCTAGGCACAAAAATTTTGAGTGTGAAAATAAATCTAGGTCAAGGTCTGATTTTATGCGATCAGAAAGATTTTTATTTTTTCAACAGTTATGATGAAAATTTGTTCTTATAATGATATTGATACAGAATTTTCATTATTAAATCAAAAGTAATTCAACGTGCTGTTTTTTTTGCTGTGTTGAAGACAATTTCTGTTTTCACATGTATCTAAAAAAAATTATTGAATCTACAAATTTTTTTTTTCACAATTAAATTACAGGTTAGTTAAATGAATTACCCTCATACTTTTGTAACTCTCTCATGTCTAAAAAATATGAACAATTAGAAAAAATGTGTACAAAAAATTCCTTCATTGATGTGAGATGAATACAAAAGAAAAAGTCCAGACACAACAAACTTCTTTCAAATAATTACTTACCACTCTCCAATATGAAAAACACGAGGAGCAATGGCTACCATAGCAGTTAATGGGGAGGGTAAGCATGTAGCACTCACATGCTGTAATGACCAGTCCCAGTTATAGTCATCAAAGGAACAAAATGCCTATTAAATATTTAATATTTTTAAATGTTGTAAACACAGAAGTGAGATCATTTACAGCTAAAAAATGAGAAACATAAAAGTATTATTTACAATAATAAAATCTAAAAATGTTTGGATTATCAGGGAGACGCGAAAAAAAAAGTTGGTTAATGAAAAATTTGGAAGAATAAGAATTCATATATTTAGAAGAAACAGTTAAGATGTTGGATGAAGTTCTGGACCAAAATGCACAGAGAATGTCATTTTGCATTTAAAACTCAAATAAGCTAGATGATTCATAATTCAATTACCTACATTTCATTTCATAGCTAACTTTTAAATAATTGTCCAAGTTTTATTATAAATATGTATTACTTTGTATTATAAGATATATTCAAAAACAACTATTTACTATAAAATACATGCTTGGATTTGAATAGCGCTTTTAAATTTGTTACAACAAACTATACATGCTGATAAACTTAGTAAATGTAATAAATTATTAATAAAATGTTGGGTTTTCTGCTTGGAACATAAATTGCAGTAGTTTGATATAATCGTAGAACATGTGGTCATTTCGCAGTGCTTTTGATTGTTACATTTGAACAAGGTATATGAAGCAACACAAAGTAAAATGTTTTCAGCTGTAATGTTTTTCCAAAATTTCTTACTCATCAAATAAGTTTTTTAAAAAGCCTCTTTTCTCCCAACCAAACTCAAGTGGGAAAAGGGAGTTTTCAATGTTTATAATACTAAATAAGCTTTAAATGATCTTTATTTAGTTTTCAAACAGAAACTGATGCTGGATATATCTGCTCTGCATTATCTTTTGAAAAATGTAAAATACTTGGTCAATACTCAATTAGTATGGAAAATAAATAATTTCCTGAAAAAAATTATACAAATACAATGAACAATTACAGCATCTTTTGAAACTTTATATTTTCAGTCCCAAACTTCGTGAAAATTCGTTCCTCAATCCAAAAATCTGATTGTTTTTTCCTACAACTGTTTGTATATATAATTATTAAACATCTAAATAGCCTTAAGAAGCCTATATAAATGAAGCAATCATAAAGGATCCTTGATTGGTTTTAACGTCACATGCTGAACATAAACATGCTTCCTACGTATGCATAAGAGAATTCAATTTAAACATGCTTCCTCCTATTTCAATACTCTATTAGTTTTGAAGCCACTTATATCGTATGATCATTCTTTGTACACTATTAGTTACAAATTTTGTGAATTAAATGTACGCTTTGAAGAGTGCATATGAAATGGAAGTAAGATTATTAAAACTTCAGACTTTATTTATCACTGAAATAACCTTAGAAATGATTATGCAGCTCTTTACAGCAAATCAAGATTTCTTTTTGGCTGAAAATAGAGGTGCGAAAATTCAAAGAAAAAGATTATATTATTTCACTTATTTTTAAGTTTAATTAAGTTATTAGACTGTAATTAAACATTATTTTAAGTCTGTGGCAGATTGGATAGATATAGTAAACAGATAGAGGGTTGTTTCATAATTTTCTAAAACATGATATTAAAATAAATTAGATAAATAAAAGTACATATTCACAGACACACAAAAAGAAATTCACAATAAGGAAGCACCCTGATCAGTGCATGACATTTCCAATTAAGGGTTCCTATACAATTCTTAATCCTTATGATGTGCCCTTCCTCTCATAGAAGTTTTGCAGACCCACCCAGTATATATTTCCCTATTTCATATCTAATTTTTTTCAACAGGAAACATACTAGTGTTGAGAAATATTTAACAGGTTGATATGTTGTTGTAGCTTCAAAAATAAAAAATTATCAGAAATTACATAAAAAAAGTTTGAACAAAATCAGCTTGATAAAATTAAACAAAGTATAAAAAGTAAAGGCATAAATGAATTTAATTTTTATGAGTTGAGTTTCAAAACCAATATTTTATTTGCCAAACAACTTTTTATATTTTATTAAAATAGTTTTAGGACTAACTAAAAATATTAAAAAATCATACCTTGGCACACTTTTTTATTTGTTCCCATAAGTTCCTATTGATCACCATTCCCATATTGTACTTGCTAGATAGCCATTTTACAATCTCAATCTAAATGCGAACAAATTATAAGAACATTAATGTCACATATGTGTTAAAACTTAATACAGTGTACCACAAAAGCTTAGGCACACGCAAAAATTTTTTATAATAGAGATGGTTCTCTCAATTGTTTTACTGTAAGAATGATAAACAGATAGGAAAAAAAATTATTATGTAAGCAAAAAGCGGTCGTCAAAAAATCAAAGTGGGAAAAAAAAATTTGAGTTATAATTGATAAATGCAGATTAAGAAATTATAAAAGATAAATGCAGATAAAGAAATTGTAATAGATAAATGCAGATTAAGAAATTACACTAAGTCCAATGTACTATATTACACAAATAACACTATAAAATTATACTACAGTTGCAACATTTCAGCTTTTATTATGAATCCTTGGTACCTCTTTTAAATTTCATTCAATACCTGTGTTAAATCAGTTAATGCATGAAAACATTTTCAGTCAAAATTTGAAAAGGAAGTTATCTCAGAAATCTTTATTTAAATAAAACACTAAAAGTTTATGTAGAGTTCTAGCCCAGTGGAGAATTACAAATCCCAATTAAGGCATGAAAAGCTGCAGAAAAAATTCAGATTTAAACCCAGATTGTTCAACAAATGATATAAAAAATCAAATGAGTGAAGTCTTAAGAGATTTTATAAGAAGAAAACTGACAAAAACATGAATATCAAATGACACTCATGGCTTTCTCTTTCTTGAACAATATCATAAGCAACATAAGATCGGGCTTGTGAGTACATGACATATTTGTTATTTTTAGTTTCAGGAAAATATGTTTATTTATTTAAAAACATTACTTACAGATAGATTATGTGTAACTTACCTTTCTGCTGAAGGCTGCATAATTATAGGATTTAACATATGTTCCTAAACATAGAATATTACACTGAGGGCACTTCCTGAAATATCAGAATAATTTTATGATGCAGCAACATCCAACATATTAAAAAATTAAGAATTACATGCATAATATGTCTCAGATTTATGCATGCATTACAGAAATCCAGAAAACTATAAGTAAAAAGTTACACAAAAAAGCACACACTGTAAGAGATAGAAAATATTTTTTTACTTTGTTTTAATTGATTTCTAACATTTAACTTTAAAAATTAACAAATGAAACAAATTCTACATTAAAAGAAGACAATGCAATAAATAATATGAGTTAACTACTACTTGATTATATGAATACAAGATCATTAAGAAAAATAAATAGCTTAATTAATATAGTATTTCTAGTTAGAAGTTTGAACTCTTGAAGCAATCACAAACAAATATAGATTTTGAAATATAAAAAAAGTTTTTCTCTTTTTTAAAAAAAAAAAAAAAAGACAAAGATAAAAGCAATTTTCTACCCACGCTTAGACTAAAGTAGTTTTTCATGCATTTTGAGAACCTAATTTTAAAAGAAACTAATATTCTTTTCTCTGGATAAATGTTAGGTATAATTTGAATGATAGAATAACTCAGAGGTAGAGTCCAGAGTTTAAATTTTCCTTGGTGACTTAATGTTTTAAGAAATATTCTTTTTCTTTTCTCTTAAGTAGGAAAAATTATTTACAGCAATTTATGATAGTTTTTGCTCAAAAAGACAAATAGGCAGAATGCAAGTTAACCACAAGTCTAAAATTTTAAAAGTGTGATAGAAAGTTAACATAGTAGGTATGAAACATTTTCAACTTTCATTTCAAACTGCTAAACACTAACATCAAAATAAAACAGATGTGTATATCATATGAATACATCATTTATATGACCATATATTTTTATATGATTCTTGCTTGTTATTATGTTCTACTTACACATAGATTTTGGAACAAAAGTTCTTAACTACCCTGTACAGTTGAACTTTAATTTTTTAATACCACAAAAAATTATATATACCCTATGCATTTGCTATGTTTGTTAAAAAAATCTTTTAGCCAAATAAATTTCTCAGTTACCATAGATTTCATAAAATAATTTTGATAACCAAATTTTTTTCCTGAAGAATTTGAATTGTTTCTTTGAATTATTATATGAATCATTTCTTGAAACCATAGTATGAAAGATACAAGTTTGAAAATAAGTTGCCTTAACCATCAATTTTTTGACTAGTAGGCGTGAAATAATTACGCATAATGTCTGCTTATGACATAGGAAAAACTTGCCAATTTAATGAATCAAAAAAAAGAAAACTAATAATTTTCATGAAAGAGTTAATAAGAACAATAATGTTTCAGTATGCAGAGATATGGACGAATTAGAAATAAAAGGGATTAGGGCATTTGAAGATACATCATAAAAGTAAAAAGAGACAAAAACAGAACTTTAAAAAAAAAAAAAACTCAAATGTAAAAGGAAGGATGTTGACAAAGTTTGAAATAATTTTTTTCAACTCCATGCATGTTATATAACCTTTAAAATGTTAGTACAGTTATTATTTTGATTGAATAGTTAAAAAAAATGTTTATTCAATTTTCAATATCCCAAATTTTTAATACTAAGAATTTTTTAGTGACTCCCTTCAAGTTCATGATTTGGAAGTGTGATTGTATACATAAAATACTAATGAAACAAACAAATTTTTTTTATATATTGAAACATTTTTTTTTAATTGTTTGAAAGAAAAAATATTTTTACAATATTTTACAGAATGTGACAGCAAAACATCAGATTTTATAGACAGTAATAAAACATAGGATATGGTCAGACAAGATTTGCAGCATCACTAAAGGTTTACAGATCATGCATTTGAGAAAAAAAAAACTTGTATTGTTTTCTTATGAGGTAAAATAAAACTTCTTGATGTATTGGTAATACTTTGCTTGTTATAAGCCTTCTAAACCCAGGAGGAAAGTGTGAAACTCTATACACGTGCATTATGGAGGCAATAAATTTGCAGTACGCAATATGAACCAAGGATTTCTAAACCCTTCAAATTACAAATTAAAGTATTAAAATTTCATAACTATGCCTAAATTTATAAAAAAACATATTACAGTGCCCTTTTGTGGGTAAATCAATTTCAGAGGTAACATCTTTGAACAAATAACTAAAGTGATACAAAACCACATATTTAAAACCTATTTCCTATAAGATTTCAATTTTCTGTTGTAGTTCAATATATTGTATTCAAAACATGATAAAGAATAGCAAATATGTCAATATCATTATGGAGTAGTTGATATAAAAACATTACCATTTTATTAATTCACTTTTAAATAAAGATAATTTAAAGTTTATGAAATAATTAAGTTGAATTTCTATTTGAAATACAAATAAAAAAGCAACATACGTTATTTTTAGATTTTCAATCATTCTTAGAATATATAGAAAATCAGGAGCTACATAATGATCTTCTTCAAGAAATAGGACTGGACCTATATGATTTTGAGTAATATGCAAACCATCCATCAAGTGATTAACCTAAAATAATATAAAAAAATAAAATTTGGCTCAATTGATCTAAACTTTAAATCTGTATAAAATATCTAACCAAGAGAAAACTCAAACAGCAAACCATTTCCCATATTATAATTTTTCAATAATATTTTTATATTAAATATTAGATGTCATGAAATGAACTGGAAAATTACAAAAAAATATTGTATTGGAAAGCTTTTTGTTTAGTTTGAAAACTTTTGGTCAAATCTCAAAAAGTAATCAAAATCTAAATTCATAAAATATTTTAACAATTGTATTCACTAGATTCAAACTTATTCTTCAATTAAAAACTAAACTTAACACTTTTTCCTTTAACATTGCAAAAAGGTATTTTCGAAATTGGACTTGAAAATAAGAAATGCACATTAAAAACTAAATGCATGCTATTAATTGCCATTAATAAAATTTAAAGTAAAAGAGCATTTAACCCACTGGCAGTTTACCAAATGGACAAAATTGGGAGAATGTTTTTTCCCAATACACTATTTCTCAATTTAATAACATAGAAAAACCTGTTTTGCTATGGGGAGAAGGCTTCAGGTAAAAATTTGACTTTTCAAGTGCAGAACCGTCAGTGGGTTAAAAGTAATTTCTGTCAAGTTTATATCATAACTCAGTTTATTATGCTTTTTTAGATTCATCCTTACAAAGGATACATAGGGACAAATGGAGTAAGAATTTCTAACATATTATAATATTAAAGAGGCAATAAAAAAATTCATTCAATTATAAAAGGTTTAATTTGCAAGTACTTCATTTCAAATTTGCTTAGTTAATAGTTTCAGTCTTTTAATACTGCAATGAAGTGAAATCTCTTCTGTAATTCTATTGTTTTTTTGTACCTAAACAAGAAATTTTCGCTGTATTTGTTTTTTATAAGAAAAGAAGGAAAAGAAAACTAAAGAATGTTCTGAACATAAAACCTAAGGAGTAAGCAATCAAACCTCTAACTAAAATAACCAATCAAAAAAGATCAATGAAGTAAGAAAGTTGTTACAATAAAGACTTACTTTCCACCACCAGTGATGTTTAGTTTGAGTAAATTTTGCTTCACGATAATGTCCATACAAATCAGGATGTTTGGCATTGTTACAATTTCGCTTCAAAGCCCTGGATAAGAAAAATAGCAACAAAGGTATGAGTAAAATCTTATATAGATACAAAAAATATATATTGATATACATTTGCATAGATAAAAAACAAAATTTTAAAAGAATTAAAAGTATTATTCGATTAGTATTTAAAAATTCCTAAAAAACTTGTTAGGACTTCTTCAGTTTTTTAAAAAACCAAATGAAATGAACTAAATATATTTTTCAGTATAAAAATCAGTCTGTTGCGTTAAGATGACAATTTATTATTCAATTAATAATAGTGTATTTTATTATTTAGTGTAAATGTCAGACCTCGATTTGACACTAATTGAAAACAAAATTTTTAGTACAAAAATGTTCTTTTCTTCACACTGTTATTTAATGATATACATACTTTTAATTCTATTATCTGACTAGACAAGGGCTAGATGTGGGAAAGAACTCAGGGACATCAATGTGAACAAAGACTGTAGAGAAATAGTACAGTTTGGATAAGAACTATTAATGAGTATGGAGAATAAATAATGGAATCTGTTATTGTGAATATGATTACTAAGTTAATATTGTCTCTGTAAAATAACAAAAATGATGTCATACAACATAAAAGTATCTTAGAACTACATTCTCTTGCATTCTATATACATTATAGGATAACATAAATGGAAAATAAGTAAACTTGTCTTCTTATTTTCACTGTCAGCATACAAAATCTGCTGCCACACACTGGAAGTGAAAAGACTCAATGTTGATATGTGAAATTCAAATCTAATTTATTTTAAACTCACTATTAAGTATTTGTATGAGCTGTGCCAATCATATATGGAAGCAATTTATGTGGAAATAGTGCTTATTGATGAAGATATCTAAGCAAAAGTCAAAAACTGTGAACAATAGGTTAAGTGTAAGTTGAGAACAATCCAACCATAAATAAAATACTGTGTTGCAGAATTAAATTAAATTGTCAAAAAGAATTGAATTGTCAAAAACAGTGAACAATAGGTTAAGTGTAAGTTGATAACAATCCAACCATAAATAAAATATTGTGTTGAAGAATTGATTTCTCCTGAATATTATTTTGTTGATATTAGGCAAAAGAAAAAATATAAATTTTCTCATAATTTTCTTGAAAGAGTATTTTTATTGATGTGAATTGAAGAAGCTGCTATTGAAAGACAATTTTTTAATAATTTAAAGATAAAAACCATAACCAACAGTAAGTAAGGTTGAAGCTTTTTCTAGTTCTTATCAGATTCAATTTATCACAAATTGACTGCAAAAAAAAAATAAGAGGAATCTATGTTGCATAGTATAGAATTTCACAATTACCAATCTTAAAAGGCAATATTAATTAATTGATATTTTCAGAGAATTAAATAAAAATGTTTTAAAATATGGTACACTGGGAGAAAAAACACTGAAGGTTGAAAATGTATATGCACTGCCAGTGATATAACTCTGTATTAGTATATGTAACGATAATAAGCTAGAATTTCATAAAATAACTTCAACTAAATATTTTAAATAACTGTAAAAGCTTGACTACCCAGAATGCAAGGGAATTGGCGATTTCCGCATTTGTCGAAATTCCATATTCAAAAGACTCATCTCTTAATATTACCATATTTTCTGGAAAAAAATGCCACCAAAATAAAAAACAAAACAATTAGCACAATTGTTGCTGATAAAGGAATAAAAACTATAATAGTAGTCCATAAAAATTATTCTAGGGAAAAAAAAACCCTAATGGATAACACTCTTTCCGAACAGAATGCTTGTTTACATTTGAGCAAAACTCAAAGAGAGGGAGATATTTATTAGAACCGATTAGTATTTTATTGTGTATTTTCAAACATTCCAATTCATCGCTGGAAAAAAATGATAAGTCTTCAAAATTTCTGGTTACTTGAGCTTGCCAGTTAGTTGAATTCCAGATTGTACAGTTTTCATTGTAATAGTTTTGGAAAATATAGCTTAACAAACTAGGAACTCAAGAAACATTCAGGTTGTGGGTTTACTTAGTTTAATTTTGTTTTTAACACTATGCAATTTTATTTTTACACATAAATTAGCTCTTGAATTCGAAACACATATTAAACTGAATAAGATGGGCTAATTTGTTCTGCCCCTTTTTTTCTAATTTAACCTCCCTAACATATTAAAAAAATTTTTTTTCTTAATTCTGCAACTATTTTAATTTTTCAAGTACTATGTATATACATGCATATATATATATATATACAATATGTATATATATATACTTTAAAAATACTTACTCTTCTTTCTTCATGTTTCGAGGACAATCATTAATATCATGACCAGGGAACTCATTTGGGTGCAACTGAATAGAATTTGGGTAAAATATTTGTATAACCTATAACATTGAAAAACAATTATTAGAAGTTTATGTTGCAATTTCTCTCTAATAAAACATGGTAGCCAATAAAATTTATCTTTATTAGTGTTTGTAATGATAAAATAAATGAACAAATTTAGCAAAACGTTCTAACAACATTAAAATTAACCATTTTATAGACATTGCTAATGCATTCATATCATGAACATGCATAATAGTTCCTTTTAGTTTTAAGGTGTCAATTTTTTTTTTAATGCAAAATACCAAGATTGGAATGATTATTATTTTTTAAAATTTTACAAATATGAGTTTTAAGTAAAACATACCTAAATGTTCACAACGATATAACAAATCGCATGTAAAACAGCTAAAAACTGACTAAGTGTTGTTATACAAACAGGTCACATCCATTTAAAATGAGGCATCAAAATATCTTTATATCAATCTTCTAACAGATTGTATAATGAGTGGAAAAATCTATATCTTATAAAAAAATATTTTAGAGATTACAAATTTTTACAGAATTAAAAATTTTTTCAGAATTATAATTAAACTATTAAAATTCACTGATTACAATTAAAATTCATCAAAAACGTATAAAATTACAAATTGTAAAATTTTTATTAAAACCTGCACAGGTTTCAGTGTTACATCTTTATCAGTAGAATAAAAGACAGGAATGGTAAAAACAGAGATGATTTAATTTGACTGAGAGATCATTCCTGTTTTTTACCTTACTGATTAAGCTGTACCATTTCCATACAAAGATGTGTAAAAGATTTAACAAAAATTTTACCATTTGTGACTTTAAATATTGTTTTTAATGAATTCTAATATTATTACAAAGAAATACCCTCATAAATTTATGCAGCAACTCTATGACTTAACTAAAATTACAGCAGGGTGCGTAGCATAATTATTAAAAAATATATATATAATAATAAGCACCTTTTAAGCACTTAAAAAAATATAATTAGGCAAGGTTGGAAAGTTTTTGACAATTGACGGTTTTATCTAGCTTTAACCGTCATGTTGAAAAAGGAAAAACAACTTTTGGCATTGTTTTTGACAACTGTCAAAAACCATGAAATTTTAAATCATGTAAAACGAATGGCGTTTTCATACGCTACGGAATGACAATAAGCCGAAGTATATTGATTGGGTTTGAATTAATTGTGAAAACGTTGAATAGAACCATGTGAACTGCGTCTTTTTGCATAATTCGTAGCAAAAATCAACATGGTAAAGGAAAAATCTCCTTTTGAAAAAGAGAAAATTTAAGCACTTTTTAAACACACCCAATGAAAAAAGCACCTTTAAGCACTTTTTTAAAAATGCAACGCACCCTGTTATTGTATGCTAAATAGTATAAGAGCTTTAAATTCTAATTATATATAGCTTATGAAGAGGTAAAACATAATGGAAGTGGTAGAGTTGGTTCTTGGAAAGGAACATATTTTCTATCCTTATTCAAGATGTCACTTGCAAAATTAATGTTATTCAAGAATCTACAATAGAGTGATATAGAAAAATTTTCAAAATTTTAGAGTGACCTGTTTTATCAAGCTAGTTTAATCAAGCTTTTAAGGAACACCCATTGTAAACTCTTGATTTCATAAATGCAATAAAAAATAACTGAACAAAAATATTATTGAAAAATAAACTGCACAAATACTAATAAAGATCTAAAATTTCAGCTACAACAAAATTGTACTTTTACACACTTACTTTGGTAAAATCAATCCTTTGTATAAGAGCATTGATGTGAGGATCAAACAAATCATGACTAAATACTAAGAGGGTTTGGTTAATATTTTGTGCTTGTTTCATAGACTCTATTAGTGCATAGAGGTATTGTGCCCTATTATGGACTTGTATCACAATTACAACATCATTATCATTTAAAGGTCCAAATTTATCCACATTATTTACATCTTGAAGAGCATTTAATTCTTCAATAGTATCAAGTAATAATTTAATATTTGCAGGAGTAGTGGCATTCACAGAATTCACAATGGCACTATAATTGGCAAAAAAAGTCAATTCAGGATCATTATATTGACTTTTAAGAGGCATAAAAAGGTCTGGCTTCAAATTTACAACTCGTAACTGAAGCCATAAAAATGAGATGACAAATAAAAGAATAATTGTTTTTACAGCGTATGAAGACACTCTTCTCAGCATGGCATGATGAGGCCATCCTCTTGCCATTCCGTCATAACCTAGAAAAATAAAAGAATTAATTAACAAGAGAGAATTTAAGAAACAGAAAAAAAAATACAAGCAAAATTTTTGTTATTAAACATAAATTAAAAATAAAATAGCCATATAAACACTAAAATTTATTAATGAATAAATGAAATTAAACTGAAATATTAGGAGATGTGGGGATGTTTATTCACATCTCTTTTGATAGTTACAAGGTGATTTACCAGGTAGCATAGCTGTCATATTAAAACATCATCAGCATGTAAGTAGCATAATATATTTCCATTTCAAGTAATTTTTAATTCCTAGTCACTTTTAAACATTAAGTTTTAGGCATCAATGTTACATAAATTAGATGGTAGGATAAATACGGCTGTGGGTCTTTCTTTCTCTCCTTGAAAACAGATGACAGTGCTTTGCTGACTGGCATTTGCCAGCAGATGGTTTTTTGAAATGATGGAAATCTTTCAGCTACGATGTCTTCTCACCAGCGTTGTTTGTAGCTAGGGCATTAGCACGGCAATGTTAGTATAGCTGAGAAGTAGACATGGATTATACTGTTGGCTATTATAAAGCTGGGAACAAACGGTCGACATGCTGAATAGTGATTGTGAACAAAGTTCGTGGTGAAAACTCAGAGTTGTAGAACTCCTTCAAACTTTCAGATAGTGTCTCGCCGATGTTGCCGCACATGATTGCTTCTTTCTATAGTGAACTGTTCATATTGTATGTGCCTATAGCAACTGATAAGCAGCTATGCTCTTTCCATACAATAAACTGTTTCTATAATATTTGCCTATTAGCAGGTGATTAGCTGTGTTTTCTATGTCAAATCCTAGATTCTGTTCTCTACAAGTGTTTGTTAAACCTAAAATAAACCTTACTTGTTCTACTATTTTCTGTTTCATTCATCAACTTTTTACAAATGGTTGCAGAATTTTGGAAGCAAACAGGCAGTAGCTAACAATATACAAAAAATCACGAAGGGGACAAAGTCATTGGACATAATTCGTAGTCACCTCGAGGAAAGTCACTTTTTGTTGATTTAGGGATCAACAGAATGATATTATATAAATCTACTGACATTGATTTTTTTTAGTTCATCTTTTCAAGGTAATCTCTCAACACAATACTAGATGGCAGAGTTTTTTAGAGCAATGTAAACTTTTTGCAATTGGTATCTCTTAACTGTTCTAAATAAATTGCTAACAGTTTAATTTTAATATAATTTTTGTGGCTACGTAAGCTATTCTTCATCATAAATACTGCCATCATTCGTACCAGTTCTCTCTCTCTTTTTTTTTACCTGTCGTGTCATTCTAGAAGTAAATCAAGGCAGGTTTCTGTGTTGACTTAATGTCAACCTGAACAGTATAACTGTCAGAGCTCATTCTAGGCAGAAAAAAGGGCAGGGTGCAAACGTTTAAAAAAAGGGCATTATTATTCTAAAAGGGCAATAATTTCTTTCTATGGGCTTTTCACATTCTATGAAAAAACATTGTCAATAAGTTAAAGAAATTTTTTTCACTTCACTAACAGTAGCAAAGCAATCATATTTACTCATTTTTATTAATAAATTAACATATATATCGAGTTATTGAGCTAATTAACTTAGTAATTTATTTAAAATGCTTGCATATATTAATAAAATAATAAATGTATGTTTTTAAGTGTCTGTAGTTATGATTTAATAATTAAATTGATTAATAATAATTATGATTTAATGATAGTGGAAGCAACTGCAAACTTTCTAAGACAAGTGCAACAAGGGGGTGTGATGGCTATTTTTCTTTTCCCATATAAATCTATATATTGACAGCAATGACAAACTAAATAAAAATTGTTGAAAATTTAAGAAATCCATTGTACACTTTAGAGAAAAAATAAAGAAGGATTGAGGAAAGAAAGGGTTTAGAGTCTATTACATCAGGGTGGATTCTTTTGACTAAAACGGCAATAGGGTGGATTCTGTTGACTAAAAGGGCAACAGGGTGCTGCGCCCTGTTTACCCTGCCTAGAATGAGCTCTGTAACTGTGACTACGAAGTAGCAGCACAGTTTGAGACTAGAAACTAACTGCTATCTAGCAAACCTGATGTTTCTTGTAATATCATAACTGTCTCCTGGTTAATTACTGACACGTTACAAATAAAATTATACTTAATAGGTCAGTTTTGCAGTGCAATCTTAAAAAAAGAACTCTGTTTCTTACATTTTTCTTTTTTTACCATTTTTTAACCGGTATTTAATTTTCGTGATTTTTTTTTTACAATTTTAATTTTATCTTCTGAAAATCAAGCTATACAAAATATTACTCATAGTTAATAATGAAGTAATTATGGGATTTATAATGTGTTCGTATATAAAAATCAGGCATAGTGTGAGGGGGGTGCACATTTTATTTTCAGAAAACTGTTTTATTCTAAGTTTTATGTATATATGCATGTTCCTTTTTAATATGGATGTATATTTATACATAAATACAAGTATAAAATTTAAAATGGACAAACAGTTTTCAAAAAATAAAAGTGTGCCTTCCATTTCGCTTATATTATGTGTATAAGATTGTTATTTAAATGAGAAAAATAAAAAGTTCTGTATCTATATTTGTGTTTGCTGAAATGGGAAGAGGGGGAATGGGCAACCCTGTTTTAATATATATCAAGTGATAATTGGTCAATCTAGCACACAGCCAATGTTTTTCAATATAATGAAACATAATATGGAACTTTTTTTTGTGGCAAATTGACAGATATGTGTATGACTTTGTGTAATCTAACTTTGAAATCTCATTTCAACCTTTTTATTCTATAAAGTTAATCAATAGATACTTGTTTCTACTTAAATGCGACATCTGGAACATAAAGAAGTATATAATAAAACATAGATAATTATAGGTAAATATTTAAATGAAATAAACAGGTTGTAACAAATTTCTAAAATAATTGAACATGTTAGCCATAAATAAAATACAAACATGATTTACAGTGAAGCACTTCATTTTTAAACAATAATAACGCAACAGCTAAATTACTCAAGCTTCTTTAGGTAGAGCATTTTTTGCAATGTAATAGGAACTCAAGAACGTTTTATGAAAATCAGCAACAATTTTTGTTATTAAAATTGATGTTACATATTAATGTGGGTTTCGGTAATTTTTATCAAGGAATAAGATGTTTTAAAGTGTATAACTTAAAAAAATATATAGCATAACATGTTTATTTTAGTGCAACAAGTACGTGATTAATTTAAGTTTACAAACAAAATGAGATTGCTAGAAAGCAATTCATTGAAACTTACCTTTTTAACTTTAAAAAAACTGTCTCATTTTGTAAATTAGATAATAAAAATAGAATTGTGCAACGATTTTGCTGGAAATCAGAATTACACCAGCGGCAGCTCATAGATTGCAATACTTTTTTAAAACTAAAAAAGGTTATGAATTAATCTCTCACTTTTTAAAATTAAAATATATATTAACAAATGTAGATAATACAGTCCTACTTAAAATCATTTTAAAAGCTACAATACTTTGCATGTCGTTGCAAGTAATATTATTTAAATTACATGCAATATTTACATTATTTGCACATTTTAGACACAATCGACAAGAAACACAACCGACCACATAAACGTTACTCAATAACAGAAAAACGAAACATCTACCATCTACAACTCTTTCTACACCGACGACGATTATATACTACAGACAGTTAACAGAGTAAACTGTATATTTTTTTCAATGTTTCTTGCTATTTATATGTAGATAAAAAAGAACTAACATTTGAAAAATAATTTTTTTCATTTGCATTCCCAAAAAAACATAAATTTTGAAAACAAACTGAAATTTCTTAAAATATGAAACCAACCAAGATTTCTATACGATTGCGCACACGCGAGAGCGCACTTGCGATACGAGAATGAAGTGTGGGTCAGTGGGAATGAACATGCAATAAAGAGTTGCTGTTGTAGTTCATTTGCGTCGCACTAGAGCTGCGCAATGGGCTATTGGCAGTGGTTCGGGAAACATTCCTGAGAATGATCCGAAGACATGCCATCAGAATTTTGATCCTCTGCAGAGGGGATGGCACCCCCGCTTCGACAGTTCGATGACCTGCACGCGAAGTCGAGCACTTTACGGTAGAACAGTTTAACGAGAACCAATACCGCACACCCTCGCTCCATACGCAAACTGATCCAAGTGGTCACCCTCCCGCACACTGACCGCAGTCAGTGATGCTTGACTTCGGTGATTTGCTGGAATCGTGTCTAAACTACCAGTCCACTGCGGGACGCAATAAAGAGGAATCCAGGATGAAATTCTTCCACTGTTGTTATTCAGTTTCCCTCTTTCCCTTACAGTTTACATTTCACTTTAGTAGTAGTACTTTTCTCACTTCGCACTTGTGGTGCTCAATAGGCCATTGGCAAAGGTCTGGAAAACTCCGCCAAGGGTAATTCGAAGACATGTCATCACAATTTCAATCCTCTGCATGGGGATAGCTTCCCCATTTTGGTAGCCCGATAACATGAACGAAGTCGAGCACTTTAAGATAGAATAGATTCCCTTTAAACAACAGCAAAGGAATTTAATAGTTACCTAATCTGCTCGTTTTTCTTGTAAACATAATTTTACCCAATCTGTCACAGTGGACAGATCATAAAATACGGTTCCCAATAGATCACCGAAGTCAAGCATCACTGGCTGCAGTCCATGAGCGGGTGGGTAACCACTTTGATCCGTCTGATAAAGGACCGTGAGCGTGCGGTATCGGTCCTTGTTAAACTGTTTTATTGTAAAGTGATCGAATTCGTAAGCAGGTCTTCGGCCTAGCAAAGCGGGAAAGTGAACCCCTTTATAGAAGATCAAAATTGGGATGGCATGTTTCGGATCCTATTATGAATGTTTCGTAGACTATAGCCTATAGCTCATTGTGCAGCTCTGGTGCGACATGAATAAAATTCTGCTATTACAAAATTTGCTCAATAGCCCATTACTTAGCGTTAGTGAGACGTTAACACTCAGGTTATACAATTTAACAATTATAATATTTCAATTCTTTTAAAAAACATTTACTTCTTCTCTTTCACCGATGTCTTTATATCCTTATATGAGTGTTGAAATAACATTTTTTAAAAACTTTTGCTCAGATGACGCTTTTTTCTCATTATTTTATTAGGTACTACATGAAGGTGATCTGTTTTTCTTTTTTTGGGGGGGGGGGCATACATCAGATTGCGATAAATTTAACAATCTCTCACACGAATAATTTTCAAACACGCATTTCAAGCGAAGGACTAGAACAGTGATCGGTAAACTCATTAGTCAACAGAGCTAACTTTAAACAATTCAATGATTGAAATCTCTCTTAGCCACATTTTTTAAACTTGCTTTATATAGGTAGGTATATTGTTATTTACTTAATTAGGCACAATTACGCTGATTTTTTCTAAGAACGTTCGCAGTTGATCGTCGTATGTTCACTGAGATCTAGGCCCTGCTGTTCGCTGAGGCCCTCATTCAACTCTTTCATCATTAATGACATCATTAATGAATGTATAATGAAATGACACTTGTCTTGTATACTACTTTCGTGTATCTTTTTTCCTTCATCCTCTCTATAAGCCTAAACTATCTTAACATATTCTTTTCAATTCTCAATGCATCTTTTTTCACTCTACACCACCCCTAGAATTAATTTAACACTTCAATTTCTTAGTCTTAGTTAAACTTTATAGAAGAGGTGTAACATCAAGTTATATGTAGAATCAAACTTGATATTACACTTCTTCCTCCTTAACAGCACTACAGCCTAGAACAGACCAAGGTTTCCTCAATCTGCCCCTTTCAGACCGTTCGATTTGTTGCTAGATTTCTCCGTTTATTCACTCTGAATACTCTCCATTCAAATTCTTCTATCTCTGGCATTAATGGTTCAAATTTGACAGTTAAAAGAAAACTATGCCCTTCTATTTTTAATCATAAAAAAGCCTTCCAGCGAAATTTTGATCTTTTAGTTAGACGAAAAATCTCGGACTTAACACCGCTTAAATATTATGGTATTTCTAAGATAAATGTTTCTTCTCATTTAACGCATCCTGATCCTAATTTTAATAAACCAGGTGAAATAGATTTATTAATTGAGTCAGAACTATTTAATGAATTCTTAGACTCAAATCAAATCATATTTAGAGGTACTGATATTATTTTGGTGGAAAGTAAATTGGGATGGATAACCACAGAGGTAATGAATGAAATCATTTCTGAAAATACTTTAGTTTGTTGCTTAGTAAGAAATCAGGATTCGGAAAAAAAAAACAAATTAAAGAGATTCCAAGATCTTGAAAGTATTGGGATAAAAGATGATTTAAATACTCCTAAAGAGAATTTAGCGTTAAAAATTTTTAATGAAACTATTACATTTAAAAAATAATCGTTATGAAGTATCTTTCCCCTGGAAATGCGATGCACCTAAATTACATGATAAATCCAATTTTGCTGAATGGAGATTTATAAGTCTTGTCAAAAGATTTCATAATAACGATAGCCTCTACTAAAAGTATTAGGAAGCATTAAATGAACATTTAGAGAAAGGTGTGGTAGAACCGGTGATACGAATAGTTCCAACATTCATTTTATCTTCCTCGTCAGCCTGTATTGAAGAAAGAAAGCACAACGGCCAAATTACTCATTGTGTTTGATGCTTGTTTTTATGAAAATGGACAGCTTTCACTTAACGAATGTTTATGGCCAGGCCCCAATTTAAATCCTAATCTTGTAGATTTAATGGTAAGCTTTCGCAAGGGAATATTACGGATCGAGTTTGCTGAAGCAGAAACTGCGTTAATCAAAATGGTTCAGAAAAAATCAATCGCCTAGGACAGGGGTCGCCAAACTTTTTTGATCATCGACCCCTACATAATTTTTCGAAATCTCCATCGACCCCCATAAAAGTAATTTTCTGTTAATTAAAATAAAACTTTATTGGATACTGTTTTTTTTTATGATTTTAAATATTTATTAAAGTAATAGTACATTGTGTAACAATAATTTTATGAAAAATATATTAATGTTGAAATTTAAATACCTTAATATTTCTTAAATAATAAGTAATTATGAATAAGTAGAAATAATAAGTAAAGTAACTACAGATTTATTGCTTCTTAATCAATGAGATGGGTATCCCTGGTGTTTTTTGCAAGGTTCGCTATATTCGGTTCAAAATTGGTCAATTTTAATTTTCGTAAAAGAATACAAAGTGTGCTATACTTTTGTCGCTGGTTGTACTAATCCATATTATTAATGCTTACCTTCTTTTTTTACATGCATTGATAATTAAAATTGATATCTAAACTAAACGAATGGTTTTTATGGAAACAATAACTAATTATCCAAAACTATAAAAGTTTTATGAATGACACTGCAAATATTCAACACTGTTTACAGTTTGCAAAGATAGCTGAAACTGCCGTTTGCGTTTGTAACGTCAATGCTCGTCACACGTGACATTTGGACAAGCGCACATATGCATCTGACTTATAAACTGTGCTGAGTTCGTGCCACTGCGCGCTGGTACGTAAATACTTGTTTCACCCGATACGTTTATTAATTTATGTTTTATAAAGAAACTGATTTTAAGTCAATTAAAAAAATTCACAAATTTTACATACTCAATGATGTATGTGTAATTTTCCGATTCGGATCGACCCCCATTCGACCCCCTGGCTCAGATCGACCCCCGCTTTTGTTAAATAGACCCCTGGGGGTCTATATAGACCACTTTGGCGACCTCTGGCCTAGGAGATAAGTAAAAAAAAAAAAGGGGGGGATCATACATCAGATGAACTTAAAAATTTAAATCCATTTTTAGATGACAAAGAAGTTTTAGGAGTTTCTGGAAGACTGTAAAATGCAAATTTAACGGTTAACAAAAATTTTCCGATTGTATTACTAAAAACACTAAATTGACTAATATTATTATTGAATATTATCATAAAACGAATTTTCATCTTGGTGCACAATTACTTTTGTACAGGGCCCGACTTAGCCTAATTGGGGCCCTGGGCAAAAACTTTTTTGTGGGCCCCCCCTCTGCTTCAGTAATGAAGAGCCGAACATTGTGGAGGTATTCAAATTTTGCACCTTATTATAGATAACAAGAAGATTGACTAAAACCTAACATAGCTGTATCACCCCGCCCTCAATGCTCAGACGAAATATTGTTCTGTCCATTTTATTGATTTTCTGACAATTCTATGTCCATCATGCCGAATGCAGTTTTCTGATTGTTAGCTTGGTAGCAGCAAAAAAAGCGTTAACTATCTAGCAGCGAAAAATTCGCATCCTTGCTGACATTAGGGCGGAGTTCAGCTGAATTTTCAAAGTTACGATGGCTCAATTAAGATAATCAGAAGCCCGTATTTTAGTAAACATATCGCATTTTGCGATATGTAAAAATACAGGCTTTTGATTGGACAAACTTGGCCACATTAATTTCGAAAATTTAGCAGAATTCCGCCCTAAAAATCCATGGATTTACGAAATGTAGATTGTGTTCATACGATAGATTAATGAAGAAGTCAACATAAAACTGACGGATTTTACACTGTAGTGATATTTTATTTTTTAAAAAAAGTTCATTAAAGAGGGAAACGTAAAATAAACTATTCGATTTTGGGGCCCCCTCTAAGGTGGGGGCCCTGGGCAATT